CCTGGAATCATATAAATCCTTCAGTACAACTCCCATATCTTATGAAATAAGATCAAGACTTTTCTGTTGAACATATTCAAACTAAATGTTAATTTACACTGAGGTGTGTGCAGCAGTAAATCAGTTCAAACTAACTTGGTGCTATAGTGATGATTGTTTGTAAAATCATAGCTTTCATATGAATAGAGACAACAAAACTTGATTAAGACAAAGAAACTAAATAATAACACACTTAAGAAAAATTAAAATTATTTCCTTGACAAAAGTTATTTATGGAATAATTGGAATATCTTGCAACCTGTCTATTTATATATGTATTTGTGTAGTTCATGTTACATCAAATTTCATATATACATGTATCTGTTATACATTGGATGATGGGTGAGACTTGCCCAATAAAAAACCAAAAATGTTTTAAAATCTGACATGAGTAGGATTATTTTTTAAGCTAAGAATTTGAATAAAATATTTTGTTAGTATATATATATATAAATACACGTATTTTATAAAATTTTACTCTATAGACTGGTGTAAGTCTTATGATAGTAGTTAACTGCAAATATAATTACACAGACTTAAGTTCAACACTGCATTCTCTTTACTGTAACAATATTTCTAAATAATTATTCCAAGTTGTATGATATTTATCATTTTTTGCTTTGACTAGCTAATGCATTTTCATTTGAAAATTAAAATTTTTGAAATTGTGAATCAGGAAGTCTCTCTGACTTGTTTAGCAAATTAAACTTCTACCACATAGCAACATTGATTTCATTCAATATATTGTGAAGATTATGATTAAGAAATAAGCAGCAAATACTACAGTTTTGTATTCTTACATGTTCTAAAGCATGGTATGTTTGATAATGTCACAAATATTAAGTTTAACTTTTTTAATATTATAAATTTTCTATAATACTTTCTGCATCATTTATACAGAAAATCAGTGTTTACACCTCTTGTGCCATTTTGTGATTTTGATTAACCTTCAAATTGTATTTATTGTAAGTGCATTTTATTGTTAAACATGTTGTGAAGCATTTAATGTTAATTGAAAATGCTAAATTGTGATTGTACATAACATGTATGACAAGTTTTTGCTTAAGTACATTAATTAGTATGATTAGAATTCATTGATGTATGGTGAAATGAAAACGTGCAGAATATACAGTGTTACTTTTAGTCTACTTTTCTGCATAAACAGTACCTGTATAAAAAATTTATATTGATTCAGTATGCTATTCCCAGCTATTAAGTGATACTTTGAAATGATTATTTAAAATGAAGTTAAGGTCCACTATTATGTAGCAAGTTTTATCACTTATGTGACCTCTTCATACAAGTTGGACTGTGTGAACGTATGTTATTCTGAGCTAGAGAGGCATACTTTGAAATGATTATTTAAAATGAAGTTACCATTATTATGGAGCAAGTTTTGTCACTTTCATGTGTCCTTTTCAGTGGACTGAAGAAGATGTGAAATTGTTGAGACTTATGTTCTATAACAGTGGATCTTAATTTTGGATTACTTTACATGACATCATGTATTTACTTAATATCAAGATTAGTTATTTGATTGCACATATCTTTTTTGATTAAATGATTTTGTTAAAGAATACTTCTAATTGATAAATTTCTACTTACAACTGAAAATGCTTTAAAGCTTGAGTTATATGAGAATAGACTTCAGGCAGTGATACTATTGTACTTTCTTGGTGATGTATGTACATTATAGTCATCTGTTTATAGAATTTCATAATAATTGTTACAGAAAGTATACTTTAAATGTACTTGTGTTCATTTTAGTTACAATACTGACTGAAAATATTAAATTAATTTTTCTCTAGATTTGTTGAGCATTTTCAATAACGATGGATGCTCAACCTCGAGATATTAAGGTGTTAGAAAGTGTGGATGATATACAACAGAGAAGAGAGCAAGTTCTTCATCATTATTCACAGTTTAAACATGAAGCTCGCATCAAACGTGAAAAGCTTGAAGATGCTAGACGTTTTCAATATTTTAAGCGTGATGCGGATGAGCTAGAGTCATGGATCAACGAAAAATTACAAGCTGCTTCAGATGAGAGCTATAAAGATCCAACAAATTTACAGGTAGCTTTTTGATTGTTACATAGAATTTATATTGGTTCTATTATCAAAAACTTGTGTACTTGTTTGAGGTTTCAATATGATTAGTCTAATGTTTGAATATTTTGGAACTATTTCCACTTGACATGGAATGTAGTACATGTATTATAATCAACTGTGTATGTGAAAGATTATACTGTATAATAAGGTTATTTACTTGTTATGGCATGCTTCTTTAACAGTACACTGTGTATTGAAGGTATCTTTGATTTCTGGTAACTTGTTTATATATATATATGATGCGTATAGTAAGTTCTCTGTTGATTACTTTGGTTAATTTAACCAAAAGTATTTTACAAATTAGTGATCTGATACTCTGTTGTCACGAAAATATGTATCTAATGAAAAACACCTTAGATGTGTAAAACAGGTGTGGCCAAAAATAGATTGAGTATGCGACTTAAAGGAATAAAATCAAAATTGGCAGCCAAACTGGTAACTACACATATAGCATTGATAAGAATTTAACAGCAAATACTCTGCATTTTTTGTTGAACTTGGGGCATGATGGTGGGTAAAATAATATGTGGCCTAGCTAACTAATGAATGAATATTTACTGTAAAATTCTTATCAATGTCATAAGTATATCTACCAGTTTGGCTGTTAATTTTGATTTCATTCATTTAAGTCGCACACTGATTCCTTTTTTGGCCACACCTTTTTTTCACACCTGGAGTGTTTTTGATTAGATATCACGATTTTTTGTCAATACACACCAACAAATCAGAGCAAATAAGAAAGTGACACTTGATAGTAGCCCTTATTAGCTTTAGGATCACAACCCTATTATTCAGAATAGCCCTTTACAGAACCAACCAGATTCTTTAAAATATATGGTGGTAGTTTTGCCTCTCTAAAACAGTGTTAATAGCTTCCTTTATAGTAATGCCATGGAATTTAGATTAACAGTTTCTTGTCATCTAGATTATGATGTTGTATATTTACAGTAGCAATTGTGTAGTTTCGTGTGTTGGATGTCTGAGGATATAAATAGCAAACAACTGGTGTTTTTGTGTTCTGTAAGTAATATCGTATTGTTTTTATTAAGATCTGGGGCTGTGAAAAACTCGGGCTTGATATGGCAGCACATTTTTTTTATATTACTGATTTGACATCTGACTACTTTTATGCTTTCTGTTGTTGTTAATATGCGTCGTATGTACAGTGCATGTTTCATAATTTTGTTTCTGCTAAATTTTTAGTAAAATATCTACTTTTTCTTGGCTGTGGGTCTTAATAATTAGTTTCATTAATCTTTATTAATTACAGTGTTTAAAATACTTTAATTATAATTGAACTTATGAAGATGATTTTTCATTGCTTACACAGTGTATTTAGGACTAAACTAAATTTTTCCAAGCTAGACAAACTACGTGAAATGTTGGAATAACAGCCATAAATATTGTTAATAGAATGTTAAACTGATGGCACTGGTGTGTTAGTTACAACATAAACATTGCTAGTGACTGTTGTAAGTTTGTCTTCCCTAATCTGTATGTTACTTTTTAACCATTGTGGGTTTACTTTATGCACCCAAATTTTGGGCTTGCTTTGATAATGTTTTTTTTAACTGAGTCAGTTTTATATGGTTTGTAGAGCATTTCTTCAATAAAATGTACAATAAATAAATCAAGTACAAAAAAATATACTTTTCATTAATCTTAAAAACTGAAAGTGTTACCAGCTATAAGTTTGTGTAGATATGTATTTATATATGTGCATCAACTTTTCAAAATCAGTTTTTGCCTAGTGTTTAATAAATGTAATTAAAAGGAGGTCAACTGTAAGCATGATTGAAAACAACTAAAACATTTTGCTAAACCATAAATTTCCAGTTTGTCTGGAAGGATGTATTTTTTGTCAAACAAATAATAACATAGACCCTCAAAAAGATCCAATTATGACATTATGATTTATAAAGACACTAAAAAAGACCCAGTTACAAAAATTTTGATGTTTTTATATCTTATTTATTTCCAAAAAGTACAATTAATGTTAAGTTGGCAATTTTTCATCTTTGTTCAACTAATTTTTGATTACTTATTTCCTGGAAGTTTTGTTACATTAGAAAAAATAAGTCTAAATCATGCTCATGTTAAATAGTATCTTAAGGAAACAAACAGTCAGTGATCTTTCTAACCAGCTTGGCCCGCACACCAAGTACAGCCTATAGTAAGAGTAGACTTGCATCGGAACTTTCACACATACAACTGTACCATAATATGTACACAATGCCCAAGCGCTGCACATGTACACACGCACACATACACACACACACACACACACACACACACACACACACACTGATATGTATTGTCATTCATGCTCATAGTTTGCATTGACCTGGAGAGAGGCAAAGGTAACCTTATTTTATTTATTGTTATTCTGTTTCATACTGATCAATACTTTCATAAAATTTTGCTTGCAGTTATTATTATGTTCTGTTTAACTTTTAGATTTTTCCCACTTTTCTCATGGTAGCTAAGCCTTCCACATTTCCTAGACTTGATTGGTCATGTCTGTCTAATGTTAGCCTTAGGCCTATATGTGCATAATCAAAAGGGGGTCAGTGTTTGAATTGTGACGATTAACGATGAAAATTCTGAGTTTGATTTTGCAAATTTGATCATTTTAGTTCCTACCAAAGGCTTATCGGTGGGAAGTTGAGATAGCCATGTTAGTTTTATTGTCATAAGCATCTATACTAGCCATTCATGCTCATTTGAACTTCATACAAAATTGACATGCATAAAGCAGCACAGAGGTGCCGCTTGTCCATGATAGAAAGTTTAGTGAGTAAAACATCATTATTAGCCAATCACAAAAGGGAACTTTTCCTAACGTTTTCAGCCCCTTTTGGTGGATTGTAATCAGCATTTCTACTGTACAAAGTACAGTCTTTTTTAAATAAAAAAATGGACCAAAATATATTTTTGTAGGGGGTTAAAATTTTCAAGTTTGTAGTTAGGGAATGAGAAATTAACAATGATTTTGGTTGAGGATTGGAGTCAACATTACATGTGTAGTGTGGGCATGGATAAGTGTATAGTAGACTGTGATGCAATTTTGAGTAAGGGTCTTTTCCAGATTGCTAGTCACCTGTTAAACAACACAGGGGCTTAACTTGGTCATCCACAGAAATTTTAAGTCATCTAGGATGACCATTAAAATTGAGCTTTGTAAATGTATGTTTACATTTATGCCCTCCAGGAGAGTCACCCATGTTTTGAAAATGTATGAAAAATTAATTTTCTTCATAGTTTATCATACTTTTTGCTTGTCGCATGTGTTTTTTATCACATTAGTTCTCTGCAATGTTGGACTTGGTTGTTATAGCTTAGCTAGAAATATACTTAGAAATTATTAGTTTGTAATCACATAATTTGAAAGTACTTGTATATAGTGATTTTGGTATTTTTATTCTTAATTATAATTTTGTTTATAAGATTTTTATTTCTCTAGAAAGCACGACTAAACACTTACTGTATTGTTTATTTTAATTTTAGTAATTAATACATTTATGAGACTACATGCTTAACAGTATTATGTATTTTCGTAAGGTTTTAAACATTTCCTGCATTGCAGTAAAATAGCATTTTGGAATCCACTTGTTCAAGTTTCATTTTTAGAAACACCTCAAAATAATAAACAAATCACTACATTGTGTTGGATTATACTTCACTGGCTGTTTATTAGTGAAACAGACTGTTTAAAGATAGTGAAGAATTTAGCAAACAGTTTAATGTGTTATAATAAATATTATCTAAGAAAGAAGGTTTGTTACAGGCAAAGATTCAGAAACACCAAGCTTTTGAAGCAGAAGTTGCAGCCCATAGTAATGCAATTGCAGTTCTTGACAATAGTGGAATGGAAATGATTAACAGGAACCACTTTGCCTCAGAAGTTATAAAGGTATTTTGTCCGTTTTTTTTTTTTTTAATTTCTATATGAAATTGCAGCTACAAGTTCACACATTTAACACTTGTACCTATTTTGAAGCAATGTGTGCATTTACAAGTTTTGGAGATTCTTGTATTTTAAAAGTTTAGATATAAAAATGGCTGAATTAACTTGTGTCTGTTTGATACAAATCACTTATTCTCTGGTGTTAAAACTTACCCAGCTTTGAATGCCATGATAACTGAATTGTAAATGTATGAAAGTAAATGAGAGAAATTGCTTTGCAAATTCAATTAACTTAGAATTGTATTATCAGTTTATTTCACCTGTCTGAAAATCTTAGATACATTTTGTGTTATGACAGTTGCACTCCGAAAGTGTACCTAACATGTAGATTAGTAGTGTCAAAGTGGGTGAAAGACACAAAATCTTGGTGAATTTAAGAAGTTTGAAATAATCACTGTTCTGTCATCTTGTGCATGAGCCCTTTCAACAATATCAGATGCTTCAATAATACCAAAATACCTTAAAGATTTTCAGGTTGATTAAAATTGACTAAAATTTAATTTACTTGTTAAAAATTGTTTAAATTGTCCTGGAACTCACATTCAAAATAAATCAGTGCCAACTTTGGTGAGGGCTGAATGCTAGTCTAGTAGCAGCAGACTGGTGAACAGTGACTGTGTTATGTCTTCTGTAAAAGGTTATGATGAGGTGTTATGGCATGAACTCCACAGGGACCTATCAGTCTTGAATGAAAATGTGTAAAAAAAAAGGTATTGAAACAATGTAGCTTGTGAGGGAATGAAGTTTTTAGTGAGCATAAAAAATAAAACCTAAAAAGAAAGGAAGTATATTGTTTTATAACAAAATTGGAAATATTTCACAACATACAAATACTAAATCAAATTAATAACAAAAGTAAACATGTTTAAACTAATCACTATGTAGAAAGAATTCACAAAGTTTCATGCCCATTGTTTAAGTGTTTTAAATGTGAGATTTCCTGTATTTGGACTTTCAGAATAAGTATATATTTGTTTGGGTTTTCAGTATGTTTTTAGTTGATAAATTTGGCTTAGCTTACAAGTTCCATTCACAATTTGTTTTTAAAAGTTAAATTACAAGGTTTTATAAATTTTGTACTTTATCTCTGAAAATTTTCTGGCTTTAGATATCTAAAAATGTGTATTATTGTATTGAATAAGTTAAAGATACAAGTAGGAATGTATAAAATGTACAATTTTCTAGTTTTTAAAATGTTTTAATTCACAGTCAGTTTTATTTTTCCAGACTTATAAAAGAACGAAGTTTGAAAGTTTAAGCAATTTTTTAAATCTTTTTCTTTATTATATATGTGGTAATAGAAAAGATTGGATGAACTTCATGTACTGTGGGAACTTCTACTGTCTAAACTTGCAGACAAAGGTTTGAAGTTGCAACAAGCTCTGCAGCTGGTTCAGTTTTTACGACAATGTGATGAAGTAATGTTTTGGATCAATGATAAGGTAGGTTGTTACTAGGAACTAGTGAATATATATACAGCCCCTTTGTTTTTGAGCAGTAATACAAAGTTAAGTTGCTTGTAGCTGAGCATAAGATTAATAGATTTATGTAACTATATATATATAAATGTTGTGTTTTTCAAAAATATTTACCATCAAACTTTTTTTTCACTTAGACAGAAAGAAACGCAATAACAAAAACATTAATTCTGGTCTTTGAGGTGTACAAAATTTCACTAGGAAACTTAATGGTTGACCATTCTGGTAGGTCAGGATGTCTTGTGTAGAATGAGTTTTCTTTAAACCATTTTATGTAATTTCAACAATGAATATATTTGACAGCAAGAGTGGAAATTTATTTTCACAAGTAAAATGTAGAACACGCTTGGAATTTGAAGTAAGTAAAAATGTTTACACAAATAAATATTGTAGATTTTAGTTTTACCACTTAAATCAAGTTTTTTCTTGAAGTAATGCAAGTTACTTACATTTTAATGATGGTGATGTATTGAGTTAAGTAAAAAAAATTAACTTAGCAGAGATGAACCTGACCATGAAACAGATATATTCCAACAGTTAATATATTTTTTACAGTTGCTGCAATGAATAATTTTTACCTTAATTTTTTTAGATATGAATGATTTAAACAAACATTAACCACACATGGGATGCTTTGTATAGTATTTTTAATTTATTAAAAATTGTGTGTGAAAATATTCACATATACACAAACAAATATACTGTGCTAAGCTATTAGTCATTCTTTGCAGTTTAATTTTTCCTCTATTTCTGTTACTTTAATGGATTAAAATTAGTTTTCTGCAGTTGAAGTTTCTAAGTTAAACAATAGGCTTAACAACACTGTCCATTTTCTTATGTTTAGTGCATTTTAGAAACTTTCTCTATTTCTCAAAACCTATAGCAGTTTTTAATAATAAAATTGATATAGAATTTATACCAGAAATTTTGATGTTTTGGATTTCTGAGCCTTTTCTTATTAAGAGTAATATATGGAAAAGGTTTCTCCATTTTTTATGGATACTTTATTTTGTGAATAGTCTTTTAGGATTTTTATATAATCCAACTTAAAACTTAGTACAGTAGTTTAACAAAATTACAAATTCAAAATGGTTATAATATCATAATAAGCCAGGAACATTTATTGTTGTACTGAGCAGATTTTAAATAACATTTATTTTTTAGGATTAAACAAAATTCTTAGGCACGTGGTTGATTTGTTTTGATTTTAATTAGTAACAAATATACTCAGTTACAAATGTGAACCTACATTTATTGTAGTGGCTATACTTATGCCTGTAATCACAATTTTAGTAGCTGTTCTTAAACCATTAACATTAAACATGCACATATAGTGAAATTTACAGAGGAGGGATATATCAAACATGGCAGTAATTTTGATACTTCCCAGCCTTGTCTTCAGCTCAGTGCTTTATTTGAAACACAAGATTCAGAATAATTTCATAATGTATAATTATCTAGGGATCTATAAGTGTAACAGTCAATAAGCCTAGTCTATGATCAAATTACTGTATCCTAAGCATCAATAGTTATTTAGTAAGAGCATAACCTAAGCAACAATAGCTATTGTTACAACAGTATCTAGTTGTGATCGAGATTCAAAAATCTAGCCAAAAATAATTAATTGTCCATGCGTAGCAGTAGTCACCGAAATCCCATTACAAGTGGCAAAAATATAGCCACTGCCTACATTTATTGGTCGTATATGGTAGAAGTTGAATTGTGTATAATCTTGTGGTATTAAAAGTTTTTGTAAAATGTTTTCATCATCTTGCACTTTGGCCAATCTACAGTTCCCATGGTTGCCATTGAGTAAGTATTACTGTACAGTGTTTCAGCAAGTGTATGACTAGATCTGTACCAATAACAAAGAAATGTACCAAAATTATAAGCCATTTAAGCTGAAAATATCAATTCAATTCTGTGTATTGACCTTGTAAATATAATACCAATCAAGACATGATAGTTACAGTATTTAATATCCTGCAGAGGGCTGCTTCCTATGTGTGCAAATTCTTTGTGATGCAACCTGTGCTATTTAACAAGGTACAAATACAGATTATAATGAGACAATCTGCAGGAGAAATAGAAGACAAATGGAATTAACATAAACTTTAATAGCAATGATTCAGTGTAGTTCTATAAATTCCCATCATCTCTGTGATGAAGAACAGGCTTTTCTACTTGCCAGTTTGTGAGGCTATTGACATTTGATGAAGTACCTAGCACAAATATAATGTGGTTAAAAAATAAATGCTTGAAATTAATTTTAACTATATATATATATTACAAACCAGTGTCTTTCATGTTAGCACAGTTTTAATACACTTTGAAACATATATCTAATGCTGTTGGAATGCGTAAAACTGGGCTGTGTTAAGTGGCATTAAAGGTACTTTAGATTCTTATAGATCATATAGATAATCTAGAACTCGGAAATTAACAGCTTTTATGAAAAAGGTCATGATTTTTCTAGTTATCAGAAAAAGTGTTTAAAAAAAGTATTAAACCACTGAAAATACAAGATATATGGCAATTTAATTTTATAGTAGCTGATGTTTGGAAGATAGAAACATATAAAGTATGCTATTATTTTGTCTTATTATAGGAAGCTTTTGTAACCACAGAAGAGTTTGGTCAGGACCTTGAACACGTTGAAGTTCTGCAACGTAAATTTGATGAGTTTCACAAGGTAATCATCAGTTCATTTTGAAGAATAGTTGTAAGGCGTTTAGTTACTAGTATAAATGTTTTTTGCCCAACCTGCACGGAATTTGTGAAAGTTATTGAATGTAAAAGTAAAAAATTTATAAAATACATTAGCTCTCTCGATATGGCTCGGTTGAATCAATCAAGTTCATGACCCCAAATTGATTTTTATAGCTTCACACTTTATCATCTAATATGTTTTGTGTATCTTCATGAAATTTCACAAGCTTTCAGTAATTGTTAAGAGTCATTTGTAGACCAAAAAAATAAATTTTAAAAAAAAGTATTTTTACTAAATATTTCTCTTGAGTATATGGAGTTAAAGTTTTGACTGCTCCAAGTCCAAAGTGATTTTCATGGTAAGAATGAAAATACTTTTCATCATCTGCAAAATATCCAATTTTATTTGCATAATCTCTAAAACCTCTTAAATAAATTGTATTTTTTTTTTTTGTCAGTAAAACTTTATATTTTATCTATTACTTTCTCTACCCTAACTCTATATGAGGTTAGTCAATTTGACTTGCATTGTAACCACCAAAAAGAAAATTTGAAAAAAATCTAAATTACCCTTTTTTTGCTTTCTAGAATGACTTTAAATTGTAACATGAAACTATGATTTTTTATTCTAAATAGCTTTAACACATGAGCTGCTTGCGAGTGTACCATATGAAAATTTGTTATTCTTTATAGGACTACATTATAATGAGTAATTTATTATATTTCGTACTTCTTGGAGGGGTGGTAAATAATTTAGAAGAGGGGATGCCTAGAGAGAAAAGGTTACAATTCTCATACTAAGATTTTTTTTAGTTGCCATATAAAAGTAAGAACTTAAAGCTTGTATACTATTAAGATTTGGATTATTAGATACATTTTTATTTAAAATATATTTATATGTCATGATAAGAAAGTAGTGTAATTAAAGTTTGAATCTAACTCACAAAAACCTTGTGACATGCACAGAAAAAGATGCTGTGTGATAAGTGTTAAAGGTTATAATTACATGATAATGTTCAAATATTGAATATATTTACTTTTGTTTGTTATGTGATATCAGCTTGTAGCAGATTGTTACTTGTTTCCAACCTTATGTAAATTTAAGAAGTTTAACTATTATTGTAGCTTCAAATATGTATCAGTATCTCTAGTTTCTGCTCCAAAAAAACTTTCCAACTTCTTTTGTGAATTTTCAAAGTGTTTGATAAAAGTATTTAGTCAAAATATTAAATATTCTTGGGAGTGGGAAAATACTCAAATAATATTTCAATTAGTGATCAGTGTTTTCTGATATCGTACCAACAGGATATGGCAAGCCAAGAATTCAGGGTAGTAGAAGTGAATGAACTTGGAGACAAGCTTACCAAAGAAGGACACCCAGAAGAATTAGTAATCCAAAAGAAAAAAGAGGTATTAAAAATATATTTCTGGCACTCCGGGCATGTACTATTATATACTGGAGTATATTAATTGTTATTACTATTTCTTAATCTCTAATAAACATCTCTCATAAATCCTGTAATAGTAGGATTGAGCGTTTATCTTTTAAATGTAGAATTCTGTTATTTTAACAGTTATGGCTATTAAAAATGCACTAATGTTGTATCTTATGCTTAAAATGTGCATGTATATTTTAATTATGCATGTTGTTAATGATGATGATGTTTGTATTTTTATGCTGCTGTATCTTAGCCCAATGTGTTTTTATGAAAAATTGGTCAAAACTCGTGCCTCAGACAAATATATTAACTTTTTTACAAAGTATTTGTTGTGCATTGTTGGTGATGTGCACTCTGAATTCACAAAACACATGTATGGTTTTTCTGTGGATTTATAAGATATAGTTTTACATTTTACATGCACAAATATTACCATCTCATTTTAAAGGTTAAAAGAAAAAAAATTAAACTCTAGACTTTTTTAAGAAATCTAATAGGAAGTAATTATGTCACCCAGTCAGTTTTATTTTAGCACAAATTTCATTTTCTCTAGATAATTACAAGAAATAATTTTCAGTTAAGTGAAAATAATGGTAGAACAATTGTTAGTTAGTTTCTAGTAACATATTATAAGCAAGATTTAAATGGGTTTTAATATTTCTACAGGAATTAAATGATGCATGGCAGAGACTTAAAGCTCTGACACTTTTGAGACAAGAAAAATTGTTTGGAGCCCATGAAATCCAACGCTTTAACAGGTAGATCTGTTGTGCATTAACTTTTTAGTAAAGAATAACTGTATGTTTCAACCATGAAGAACTGTAGTCTTATTCATTAACTCTGTTGACAGGGTTTGGTTTATTTGACTGACCATTAACTACCAGGTAACATGAAAGTATCCATACTATAATTTTTAACGTGGTATATGTATCTTCATGAAATTAATAAACATCACAAGTCTTTTGTACACAAAACAATCATATTTTTCAAATAATTATGTTTACTTTCAACCTAGAGGTGAAATAACTAAAACTCTACTGAGACCAAGTTTGCATTATATGTCATTCAATAAATTAAAACTTTGTCCTTCTATTATTTATAAGTGATTAATAGCAAACGTTAGAAAGAATTAATGGCAATTTGTGAAAGAAAGGATAGGTTAGGTTGACATAGTAAGTGGGTCTGATTTTCTAGTTTATATCTACATAAAAAAAGAAGATTAGTCTATAAGAAAAATTAACTATGCCTTAGTAATATCTATACTAAAATCAGTAATTAATGTTAACCTCGGGACATCGGAGAAGGGTGATAAGAATAGATAATGAACAAATTGTAGCAAACATATGATACACATGCAAGTGGATATTGAGAATTTATATATTTCCTTCTGAAGGTTAGAAATTAAGTTATATAATTTTAATTTGATTTAGTAACTATACTTTGATGTAAAAAAAGAAATCATTATATGCACTTTGACCTATCTGCATCATGTGGCAAGAGGTTAAACATGTCCATTTAGTGTTTTTTTGTTTTTTTTCTTAAAATGTGCATTAACATAAAGATATAGAATTACTTGTCCCTAAATCAGAGCTGTTATTAACCATATAAAAATGAAGTTGTTCAATTTTACCAATCTTGGAACTATGAAACTATACTTACTATAATCTGAATTCACTACGTGTCTTCAGAAAATTTGGCAAACTTTTTTAAACCTTCAAAGTCTGTTGTGCACAAAAATCAGATACTTTAATATGCTACTTGTACTAAAAATTTGTCTGTGATATTCCAGTACCTTAGCTGAGTCAGCCTAAATGAAAATTGATTTTTTATGCTAAGGAAAATAATATTTTTCATGTTTCATTTACATATCCTCTAGAAACTTGGAAATAAATATCAAAAGTTTTTTTTTGCAAAATTTTATATTTTCTCTAGCCTAATACTAACAATAGGGAAATCATCAATGTGCAGTGAAATGAACAGTTGAAAAATATGAAATAAAATGACTTATTGTTTATCTATATATGTTTATATAAAGCACAAAAATCTGTCTGTTGGTTATCTAACTACTACTAGGTTGCCGGGCTAATGTCAACCAAACTTTGTTGGATTATAGTTTGGAACATTTGGCATGTTAATAGGAGGTTCACAACCCCTTCCATCCCCCATTATTGCTGTTATTGAGCATTTATTATCTGTAACATAAGTTAACATTAACTACTTCCACCACATGCTTACACACACAAACAAAGTAATTTTTTATAACACAGCATACACACAGTGTGTGGGAAGGTACACAGACTTCTTGTATATCTCAAAGAGTGTGCTAGCATTCTCTATGGAAGAATACACTGAAACAAATGGCCACCACTATTGCAATAATACATAAACTCAACTGAAGATTCTACTCTAACAGCAATAATGAGGTTGATATGAAGAGCTATTTATTGAGTTCATACCCACTTCCTACTTTCACCCATGTCCTTTCAACTTCACCTCATAAAACACTTCTGTGGCTAACGACCATCGATTAATTAAATCATGTGAAACACTGTGAAAGGACATTAAGAGCTGGGTGTTAAAAGTGGGTAATAGAAAGCACACCTACCACCAATACTTTGGCTAGTACAGTGTATATCATGTTTAAATTATATACATTTTGGGTTATTTACCTTATGACAATGACAAACAGGTTTTGCAAATATGTTACGAAACTCTCGTGAAAGATCTTTACAAAAATGAAACTAGAGAATGAAATTGTTTGAAATTTGACATGAACTTTCATAACAGTATTTAGTTTCAGAAAAATAATATTTTATTTTTCTACTGTATTTGTTTGCACTCTCACTCTGTAGTAAAGTTCACATGCAAGGTGATTTTTATTTTGAGTTTAAAAATATTAATTATCTCGCAGTTTTCACATTTCTTTTGCATAATCTCTAGAACCTCCTAAATAAATATCAAAAGGTTTTTTTAGGTAAATGTTTATATTTTATTTTCCATTTTCTGTATGACATCACTAACTTTATCATCAACATACAGTGCAATGAAATATTTAAAATTAAAAAATAGGAACATGTAGAATATCTTAAGAAAGGTTTTCTTTTAATTTGCATAATTTTATTTCTTTATCTTTTCACTAATTTTATTTTTGATTTTATCTTTTATCATTTATACCAAAACGTCACCTGGTGCCCACTGACCAATATTACGAACTGTTTGGGTGAGATGCACATTAGTCCCAGGCAAAAACGTTTTGTACACATACAAAATAAAAGATGAATAAGTAAACTTATAAAACTTGTTAAACCTTTCAAATATGAATTTTAAAACATAAATAATACATAATTAACTAAAATATAAAAGTAAAATCTAAATGCAGTTTAACTGTATCAGTCTGTATAAGGTGAGAAAGTATAGCCAAATGCTAAGGACCCTGCTCTCAACAATGAACTTGCACTCATCCCCCCCCCTTTAAAAACGGATGTATGAAGGCACATTCCTGTTACAGTAATGACCTTCAAGAGCAAAATCTGCTCTTTCTAATGGTTATAAGCATGCCATTCAACTTAAAACTGTCGCTTTGCAACTCAGCTTCTACTTTGAAAGTGGGCGTAGTTGATATTTGACTTTGATATTTTTAAATGGCTTTGGTTCTTGAATTGACTCAAATTACATTTACAAGAATTTCTACATCTTGTACTTTGACTATCTGAACCAAGTCAAGTCTACATTCTCGCACTTGTTTCTCCTATATAACTCTGAAGTTGATATTTTTAATCGTAGTCATGATGAGTGTTGAAGTTTTATTGTTTCAGAGATTTTTTTTTTAAATATAGAAGTAAAAACTTATATAATATAAAAGTGTGAATTATAACGTACTTAATAATAATTTCATTAAAATACATTTTTAGTAAAGTGGTTTAATTATAGTTTGAATGTAACTCAGTAATATACAAAGAGATGGGTTTAAAAATGGCATTATTGTCATAGGGTAAAAGCTTATACAAAACGTTTGGTGAGGTAATAATGAATATGTAAGAATATGTTAAATAGATTGTGTTAAAGTTAGGATTTTTGGGTTAAGTATCATAGCAGCCACCCACACAGTATTTTAAGTTCATAACCTGGACAAAGGATGAATACCTCGGCGTGTCTTAAAAGTTAACATAATCAAAGATGTGTAATACTTACTTCATTCTTGACCCATTTGCACTTGAGTAAAAATCTTTAACATTCCTTCCTAAGCCTTGTTGAGTCTTACACATTTGGATGTCCAAAAAAATTATGGAGTTTGCAAATGTGCATTTTAGCAAAAAATATATCATTCACTAGAACACAATGCCCCAAATTACCATAATCTATTTTACTTTCTGTGGATGTTATAAATAGGTTAAAAATTTTATAGTTTGGAACACCAATTCTAAACAAACCAAGAAATTCTCTCTGAGATTAAAGTTAAATAATAATCATTTATGCTTATAATATGCAAAGCATCATATAGCTAGGATTTTATTACATTAATATATTTCTTATAGAGATGCTGATGAAACAATTGCTTGGATCACGGAAAAAGACTTGGTACTCTCTTCTGATGACTTTGGTCGAGACTTGGTCAGCGTCCAAACGCTTCAACGAAAACACGAAGGAATCGAGAGAGATTTAGCAGCTTTGGAAGATAAAGTTTGTTGTTTTAATTCTATGGTTATAATAAATATCATAACATTACATGAAATTTTTATATAGAAAGAACTTTATTCTGAAATGAGAAATAGTAATCCTTAACATTTTTAACTAAAAAAATTTAATTAATAATTTTTTTAATATATATATATAAATCTGTTCAAACACAACATATAGGATCACACAAAATGATTATATCTTAAAACTATTCATTCTAGGGACACATTGAGAATAAGTTTTGTAGAGATATAGGTTATTTGTTAAACTGTTGCAAAATTTGTTCAACATGCTTCCCATCATTCTTAAGCCTATCTCTAAATAAAGATACTCAAAACAACCTGTATACATCAGTCCTTTCAACACCTTTTAATTGACATGTGTTCAAATCATTAACCTCATATGGTTCAAAGAGGGAGAAAGATGAGAAATAGAACTGATGTCAGTTGTCGAAAAAAATCAGTAATAGGTTTTTGAAACACACTGGTATGTCTAAAATCTGATGAATACATCTATTCTCATTGTGCATCTGATGATTTTCTCATTGGAGAAACTATTTTTTAAGATAATCGTTTTGAATATTACTTTCTTTAATAACATTGTACTGTTACTTCTAATAAAGAGCTTAATTTCAGATACATTAAAGAGAACAAATTATATACTGAAAAACTTGAAACTTGCAGCTCATTTTACCAAAAATCGAACATTGCTGGTTAATTACAGAAAATTGTTTAATTGTTTATACAAAGTTGTTTTTATAAACACATGCTTTTAGCAGTAGAAAAGCTTAATTTCACATTTATCAAAGAACAAATTATAAAATGAAATATATACGTTAAATCTAAACTTTCTGTGCATTAAATTGGACTGGATATGATGGAAAAATATTTGTATGTATATGTAGGAGCATAATGCACCATACTATACATAAAAGGTAGAGATAAAAAAATATTTGGTATTTTAATACAAGATTACCACTGTTAATATTAAACTTGTTCAGGCACATTGATTTATTTGGCAGACTTCTGAGACCTTTTGTTTTGGGTAATTTTTGTGTTCTAAATAATATTGTTTATTTTAAAGAAATATAGATCAGATATATATTTTAAAATTCTTCCTGGCTAATGATTAAACATTTTTCAAATTTTACACCAGTGAATTGATATTGTGTATTTTCTTTATAGGTACTGACAATCGGGCAAGAAGCTGAACGACTCTGTGCAAATCATGAAGACCATGCAGATCAAATAAAATCGAAGCACTCTGAAATTGTGTCAAACTGGGAGATGCTAAAATCTAAGGTATGAAAGCTTTTAAAGATTTTTACATAGCAAAAAAAACTTTCAGTGGTAGGGGGAAGTATTTATATAAATTTATTTAAGTTAAAAACAAAAAAAATTATCTACAAAATTCATGTATTTGAAATATATTTTCACAGCCTTTAATATACAGGGTAATGCAAAAGTTGTGCACTCCAGCCTTACTGAGATTTTTCTTTAATGTTCATATTTGTATTTTATAATTACATCATTTTCTTTTGTTAAAATAAGTGGTTGAAATATCATTAACATTGTGGAAATGATCCTATTGTGACAGTTTGTCATGATAACAATGTACATTTTAAACAACTGTACAAGTAGGAAATAAAAAATCATGATGACAAGTGACTTTTGCATAACTGAGTGTGTGTGTGTACACACATACACACACTAGCAAAAGTACCCGACTTTGCTCCTGTTATTAGGTTGATTGTGTGTGTATTCTGAAACCATTTTAGCATAAACGTATAAAATATACTAAACAACATGACATAAAAGCCATTGTTGAAATGCATTGTTACCAAAATGCACTGGCTTTTCTATATATTAGAAGTTCTTATATAAGGAACCATTTCTATGTGGTTTTTTAAAAAGATATGCTTGCACATGGATAAGTAATACCCAGGTGCACATTCTCAGGGTCTACATAATATGGGTGCAAAATTTCAGGTTTCTAGGTTCTTTCTTCTTGGAGCTATGGCAGTCACACACAGACATGCATGCTTACACACGTGTGTGTCTGTATGATTTCTGATTGCTCAAGTTATTAGGTTGATATATTATAGATTATGTCAGTGTGTGTATTCTTCAAACCTTATTAACTATCTTAATACAGGCTTGATCAATTTAACCGACCATGTGACCATTTTGTTTTGTTTAAAGTCTATAGATTTAATACTTATAACTCTCAATTTTGGTGGGTATATCTTCACAAAATTTGGCAATCTTTCAGTTAATATTACAAGTCTTTCACCTACAAAATGTGAAGTATTTTTAATGAAATAAAATAAAGATTTGTCCATGAATATATTGAATATATGTTTTGAATAGTCTGTGCAAAGTAATTTTCATGTTAAAATTAAAAATACTTTTCCT